ACAGGACCTCCATTTATTCGTCCCTATCCGAGAAGACTAGAATATCTAACCATTTCTTGATCGATGTTGTAGAAAGGTAGCATATTCTTCTCAATTATTTTAAGACCCTGAGTGTTGGTCCGGCCGGGGCTCGAACCCTCGACCTCCCGCACAACAGTCCGGCGCTAAACCAATTGAGCTAACCGGGAGGCGGTGGAGGCTATTGTTTATAAATTCCAGAACAATAGTCAAAGGAGGTTTAATAAAGAAAGTGTTCATTCGATCATGACAATTCTCTGTCAGACTGAGGCTTGATGGTCTCGGCTCTTGAGTCTCAACGCAGTTTAAAATGTTAAGGATTTTATAATTATAAAACCATTCTCAAACCAAGTTACAGAATTTTATCAAAGATATCTTTAGAGTCTGATGATTTCTTTCACTCTCGCCTCCTTTAATTGTTAAATGACTCTGGAGGCAAAAAGATAAGTTTAAGCATGCTCTTACGATCACCATTTCTTGATTTTGTTTTTCCATAAATCTTTATTAGATCTCTGATAAGTTGAAAAACCATTTTAAGTTCTTACAAAAAGGAACTTTTTACACTTTAAACGGTTAAATCGGCCTACAAATTGTCGCAGCCTAAGTATCATGAAGTTGAGTTTTGAACCAAATTTAAAGTGTATACTCCAAAAGTAGATATTCTATAACAAAGTTCTTCCTGCGTTTGTCATCAAATTAGATAAAACGTTTTTTTTGACGTGTTTACAATAAAAATGTTGAGACCAATTTTTCAAAACTTAAAAAATAATTGGAGAGTATGTTCTGCGAATTGACTTTAGTTCCTCAACTTGTCTGTAAGGTTTATCATCAACTGATATATAATTCCATTTTAACTTAATTCATCGCAAATATTCGAGCCTAGTCCTTCAGATATTTGAGCCCATGGGCTGCGCTACAACCAAACTGAATAATATGCTCAAAAGTTGCTTTTCGTCCCTCAAATTGCTTTTAAAAGTGTTTCATCGATTACATGCTAGTGTTCTTCCTTTTTGACGTGATTCTATTAAAATATTGAAGTTAAATTTTTTTCAATTCCGAGCTCGTGAGGTTCAGTTGAAAGAGTATATTCAAAAATCGCTTTCCTTTTTTTTTGTCCTATTTTATTTAAAGTTTATTATCAACTCATGTAGAACTATTTTATAACGTGATTGGATAAAATCCTGGAGCCTTGTCATTAATAACGTCCGAGCTCTGTTGATGAAAAGCAAATCGAAACAGTATGCTCTCAAATTTGATCTTTGTATCTCACAGTGCTTCTATAGTTTGTTTACTTAATTGATGTGATTCTAGAGCTTAATTGTCAAACGTCTGAGCCTTTGAGGCTCAAAGCAAATTGAATTAGCATGCTCCAAAAATTGATGCATTCTCAATTTGTTTGCGGAATTCATTCATAATAGTAATTCATTATTACTTTCCCAGTTGCCGGAAGCTTAGTCAGTTGTTTTTGCTGAGAAAAAGAAAAGTTGCATTTGTTTATAAAATCGAACATTCTTTTATGGTGTACAAGTTGGTTTAGGAATTCAGTTAACACGTCAGTTAAATTAATTGCGTACTTTTCAATCGATTTCTGTGTTAAATGTAGATACAATTGGCCGGCTTAAAGATATTTTATTTTGAAAAGCATCATGCGAAAATATGTGGATACAAAATTTTAAATGTTGAAAACAAAGTGTTTACTCCTCTTTGTTTTATTCGTTGTACTTAGTCATCAAAGCACAGAAACTGTAAAGTATTTGATGCCATCTAATTCAACTCATGATAACCCAATAACAAATGGCCGCTTTGCTGAACCCTTTCACTACCAAGATTTCATTAGCAATTTTGTCTTGGGTCTTCCATACTTTGGTAAAGGATCAACTCGAAATCCCCCCGTTGCAATTTTTCTATATTCTCATCAATTGTCTACTACGTATTGTATTGATGTTGTAAGGAGAAATTCTGTTTTGGTCACTCATGGGAGTTTTAACATCCAACAGTGATAGGACACCAAAGAAAATCTGTTTTTAAGTTGATTAATTCAAAGATGTTGTCTGGGAACGAATTTATAAAAGAAATCCGGATAGCCTGAATTGAATTTATAGCTTTTATTGGGGCCTTCTATCAGAGAATAACTTAGAAAACACTGTCAAAGGAGTAATTTGCATCTTTTGATTCATGAAAAAACGCCACTCGGCCATTTTTATTTTTTATTGTCAATTTACATATTTAACAGCCACGTCTCGCGAATTCTAACACATCAGGATTTTACATATAAATACTCTTCTTCCATCCATGGGTCTATCAGAATTTTGAACAGACATGAGCTTGCAACCATATAATGGTTCTATTACTTTCTGGATTTTCTCATCGAAAATTTGAACAGAAGGACAGTAGATCATTTGAAAAGGCACTCTACGAATAATCCTATGTATGATTTAAGTAAGCAGGAGCTAAAATTATACATATGAATTCCTTCGTATCCCAGAGGAATTGCTAGCGAACATTTTGATAACGTGCTTGTTTTGATACCTAACTAAAATTTTGAAATCTCGGCTTAGAATAAATAGATTTAATCCTTGAAATCAGGCAGGTGAAAATCTTAAATCTAAAATCTGAAATCTTACTCGAAGTGATTTCGACGACAACAGTTACTAAAGAGTTCGTCGAATTTATTAGATTTGTTGATCAGTGGTTGCGTCAAATTTCTCGTCAAATCCAGCTTATATATATTTCCACGTTTATTTGTGCAGTCACATTTGGTAAAGATTAACTAGTTACCCGACTTCTACTCGTCTAACATTACCAAATAAAATACGTTTTTCTGCAACAAACTAATAGTGCAATCTATTATATTTGTTAATACTTTATTCATTTTCGTTCTTTTGCAGACTGGTGGGTGAACATCTCTGATGCTTTAAGAGCGAATCGAACAAGAAAGTATATATATGATTCAAGTGAAATAACGATTCATTCAAACACATGTACAAAACACATGTAGCGCATTTCTTTCAACAATATTTCGAGTCAGAGCTGCTCCAAGATTCAAACGCCATAATCGAGGAGTAAAAGTTATAATTTCTTGATTTTTGTCGGTTTTGATTATAAGGGCTGTTTGAGATGGAAAAATTTCCCGCCAAAAAACTTAGAAAAATACGGGCGGTTTAAGGACGCATGCGCCAGCTTTTTCTTTATTTATTCTGTAAGTAGCATCTGTTTAAATGTGGCGAATTTTCCCGCCAAAAGACTTAAAAATACGGTGCTCAAAATACGCATGCGCCGTGTTTTTTTTTTTTTTAATGTTAGTTTTCAAATAAACTGAATATTTACTTGTTGTCACTTTGTACTATTGGTAAACAAGTCAGTTAAGTAAAGTGATCAGTTTTCGTCTCAACTTTTATTTTCACTCAATAAGCCACACAAGTTTCATATTCAACAAATCATTTTATTTGTTTTCAATATCTCTCTAATCATAAGTTAATTAATTAACTAATTTTCGATTGAATGAATAAAAAAGGTATCAAAAAACCTTTTTCATATCTATACTAAGACTTTTGACGGGAAAATTTGGATCAATTTGCACAGAGTCTTCCCTGACAACTTTTTCGGCAAAAATTTAAACAAGGCTTCCAATAAAAAATTACTGCTAAATTTTTTTAAACGGCATCTCGTGCAAAAAGTGCAAGTTAACAAGTAAATGACAAATTCTGTTTCATTTCGCTATATCTTTGGACTTTAAATTCTTTGCACGAAATGTGTGGAAGTTCTCCTAGAAAAAGCGTCGTGGCAAGCTATACAGTGTCCGATAAGAAGTATTTAATTTTTCTCCGAGATGGTAATGAATTTATTAATTCAGAGTTTGTTCTCAAATCCAACAGTTATTTTTGTAAGCCTCTATAACTTTTGCTATGATGCTTTTTTTACTTGTTTTGTTTTTAGTAAAAGATCTTTAAAGCTTCCAGTCTTCGGATGTAACACAGTACACAGGTTGAAAAAGCTTCGAAAATGTATATCAGAGATGTAGAGCAAACTCCTTAGTCGTTACTTTGACTAAAATGAAATTAAAAGCGTTGTGAATTATTGGAGCGTACTCTTTGAGTTTGGTTTTAGCCACACAAGCTAAGGCATTTCACAATTAGGCTCCAAGTTTCTTAAACTAGATTTTTAGACCAATTTTTGAAGCAGAGCCAAAGAAGGGCCCGATTAATTCCGGCAGCGAATTCTTCAAAGATATTTTGCCGTTGAACGCATTCAATTTTTAGTTTTATTGTCATTATGAACTAAATTTGAAGAGCACAATTTCCTAATTTTGTAGATCATTCCCTTTTATGTATTCCTGTGTTACACCAAGTGACTGCACTAACGGATTTTCCTTCCACTTGTCAGAAGGAGAAATAAACTAACTACGATGTATCTTAAAACCAAATGCCTGCTCGTAAGGGGGTTACAAGTGATCTTATTTTTCGAATGCTAGTTAATTTACAATGTCTTTGGGCCACCTAGAAAATTGGTATTTAAGAAACAATTTTATATAAACCAGCAAAATAACAACCATCGTTACAAATAAATAAAAAATACCAGCTTTTCCTAGCGAGAACACTGAAACTTATTTATTTTCACTAATCTGCATTTTTGGTTCGCGTTCGGTATCGTTAAATCGATCAGCGTGCTTTATGTACAAATTTCCATTCTAAAAAGGCAAATGTGTTTATAATTTTTGAAATTTCCACGAGACCAATCAATATGTGAAATAATTCAACAAGAAAACACGACACCTGTTTTGATTTGGTAAGTATCAAATTCTCTAATTTTGTTTAATTTGCATTTCTAATGTAAGAAAAATTAAATTAAACGTGTTTTACCAAAATTAGAAATCGTGAAGAGCAAATAATGTATTTTTCTTGTTAACGTGCGAGAAAATTATAATCTTTTCTAACAACAACGAATCGTTGCTAATCAAACAGAACCATATTTTTGTTTACTGGTAAGAGAACTGGCACGTTAATTTTCGTCCAATCGTTAATTAAAAAATATTTTTTACCAAGTTGCGAAACAATTCACCATCTTAATTTCTATCGAATAAATTCTGCTCGTAATATGAAAATCTTTATCTCTTCTTCGTAAAAAGAAATCAGTTTTAATCGGTTTATGTAGAGGTTTCAATTTACTTGGTTCCTCGAAAGATCCCGTGACCAGGCATCTGAGTTTTAAAACATACATTACTTCCAACTCAGTTGATGGTAAGTAAAGATATTATCTAAGACGGCACTGTATTAAATTCTTGCTTCGTGTATACGAAAAACAAACACATTTTGAATAAAAATTGTTAACTTTCTAGTTTGATTCAATTCACGCCAAAAATGAATTTTCGATTGCATGTTTTTGGCCAACTTTTTTCTCTTGGTATCATTCAGTTTTTAGTTATAAACTACAATCATCGTCCGTGTAAGAGTTGTCGTGAAAAGATTTGCTATCGAAACTAGTGATTGGCGAAAACAGTATTCACCGAGTCGAGTGAACAGTTGCTGAAGTGTTTTGTTTGAGTGCCACCTTAAATATCACCTTTGTGTGACATCACCTAGGATATGACTATGGGACTAACTGCTAAACAAACCTTAAAGAAATGAGCGATCAGAGCCTCGAAATTAATAATTCAAGTTCGGAATTCCGTAGCTAGGATTATATCCGTTTCCAAAAAATCAAATGATCGCTCAAGGCCTGTATAACAATCCGTAACGCAACAAACTATTCCAAAAATGGTGACTAATTGAGAACTTTTCACTTACCATGTAATCATGCAGTTTAGCCATTCCAAGACTATTGGTGAAAGAAAGAGGACTTCGTACAGTAATAAGATATAAAGGCCCACCACTTTTGCTAGTAATACCAAATCATTTCCAAGTTCTAATCTTTGCAGTATCATTACAAAAATTCCGCAGAGATTTCAGTGTCTTGCCTTGACCAGAATCTTTTCTTTGTTCTTCCATCCTTCTGACAACATTTCGATCTCTTCCTGATGGTAGAAAATATGAATGGGATCAGGGAATGCTTACTTTTCATGAAGAAGAAAACTAAAAATTAAAATTATGTATAATTGTTTTGCTCTTCGACACAATTATAGAAAAAGGTGAAAGCATCAAATATATTTTTAAAATGTTATTTACAGTGAAGCAAAGGCAGTGAGTAGAAGAGTCATCAGACCTCCACGCATGTGGCTGCATTCAAATATAAAATGAAGTCCCCAATAGATTTAGCAAGCGAAACATTTTCATTTGAACGTTTCACTAAATATAAAAATATTCTACAATCGTAGGTTTTGCTTTTCTCCAAGCCCACACCCTTATTCAGTCCGCTAATCTAGAGTCGAAGAGCTGCTCAGACCGCGGGCAACCGATTCGTGTTACTGACGTCTTTAAACTGAGATAATACGACTCGTTTATATACCTGGAGGAGCTTAACTCGGTCATATTTTCCAAAGGCAATGCTCACCTGTTATTATAATGACACAAGAACGCTTTCGTTGTTCTACTTCACAGGTCCAATGTCTTCTCCCTTCCTGAGCGCAACGTTATGTTCAGCAAAACGAACGGTACGTCTTTTCTCAACGAAGGACAGCATGGTCTGCTGAAAATCTACAACCTCTAATGAATATGGATTAACTACTGCATCCAATAGCTGGCTGCTATGTCACAGATTTGGCGCGAAGTTCTAGCTGTTTCCACGCTCAGCCAGCTAGCAAGAATCATGCGAAATGAAAGGTATTGTGAGTGACTGAATGAATGAATAATTGCTCGTTGAATAATTGCTCGTCCTTACAAAGGGAACGTAACTAAAAGGAACGCAAAGGTGATGATGACGTGTGCGATTTGCCGGTCACGGAAGGAAAAAACAATAAGAAATAAACGCACTGTCACTCTCTCTCAGAGGCAAAACAATATTAAAGTACGTAAAGTTAATTAAAAGCGCTGTCCAACTATCACACAAGGAGAAAGTTACGCGGGCTCTGAGTTACACTACTTATTGACTAAATGACTAGCTGTATGGTGCATCGAACTGCAGTAATCCTACGAGTTGGGAGTGATAATAGGTAAAAAGGAAAGGTTATATAAATTGAAAAGGTTTGGATGAAAATGTTGATTGGTCATTTCGCGAGTGTGAGACGCAAAAAAAAAAAAAAATTATCAGTGTCCATGAGGAATCGAACACCAAACGTCCGGATTACGCGCTACGATGCTCTATTAGTACGCCACAGAGAATCAATGATGAGCTATCACATTCTGCGGTCTATATGTGACACACGTCTTACATACGGCTTAGAGAAGCAATATAGAAAACGTCATATGTCAGAACAGAACAAGACAGAGACAAGTTTAATAGACATCTTTCTTATGTGAAAGGGTTGTTTATTATGGTCTTAGTCAAAAAAGTGTAGCTATAGAAACCAGTACTGTTATCAATTTGGATGCGACACATGTTGCGTGAAAAACGTGAGAAAGTGAACATTGCCTGCAAAGGTTTATTCGTGACGAGTGTAGCACAGATCAGAATTAAGTTTTACTTATCAGTGGCGTACCTAGGGGAGAAGCACGGGGGGGAGAAGCACGGGGGGCTTTGCCCCCCCAACCTATTTTAGGTAAAAGATAAACGCAGATGGAAGAAAAGCCGGCAGGTGAACACACACAAACAAAAGCGCCACCCCCACCCCCTCCCCTTTAGCTCAAGGTCTGAATCCGCCGCCTTTGCCTATTGCTAAGACTGACGCAATGCTGAAATAACTATTTGTTAAATAAAAAAAATAAAAAAAATTTATCGCGCAGCTTGCATCGCATCAGTATAAACTAAACTGGTTTGTAAGGTATTAACCCTTTCTCATACGTAATTCTCGTTCCTGCCTGCCATACTGACTCTTATAACGTTAGTTCAGACAATTTGCTATTAGATCAGCTAAACAACTTTTCCCTAATTGATATTTTTCTTTCTTCTCATCACTTGTTCGCTTAATCTTGTATTGATATTGTAAAGAGAAATTTTGTCTTGGTCGCTCATTAGATTTAGAGGGTAAAAAAAAACAAAAAACAAGTTTCTCTCATCGCAATAGTTTTCATTTAAATAGACCTCTGTAGTAATCATCAATCTAATTATCAAATCTGAGGTAAGATTCTTTTTTTTCCAAAAATAGAACTTAACTTTAGATTTGGTCTATACGTATCCATGTATGTGTTTTGTTTAAAATATCTTATATTACGTCATATATTATTTTGTAGGATATTTCTCAGGAGTCATTTAATGCTCGTTACATGACGATTTCCTCGGAGTTAATAAACTCTTTTCGCTACTATAGAACTATAATCATACTGTAGCGCTTATCTTTACACGAAATTCTCCGTTTTAAAACAGGAATAAATTATTGATTAAATTTTGATAAAAATTATCTTGTTGGGTGAACCATTTTCTTTCCTTTCTTTCGTGTTCCGCAATTTTTTATCTGAAATCAAACATGGAGATATCAAGTCGAACTGAAGTGACGAGTATGATTTAGGAACAATTCAAATTTCGCTCATTTCAGTTGAAAATTTCTCTAGAAAGCGACAGTTAAATTACAGAAAAATTATAAATAGGCCTGGGCACTTTGGTAGATTCCATGCCTAGTTCACAGTCCTTTTCCGCCAAGAGTGGTCAGGTTTTGTTGAAAGCACACAACGCAGGCCTCCTCTGGGACACAGTGTTTTTGGAAAATATGACCTGAAAATCACAACAGAGCTTGTGTGAGATTATACCGCTTAATATAAAGGATCAGGAGCAGTTTATCTCGCGGGCGTTCAGTTCAGATCGGATTAATTATTCTCCCCTCTAGCTGCTACACATTTCCTTGTAAAGTAGTTACGAGAATTTGGAGTTAGTTCAAGATAAAAACCTCTACCTGATAAGTTTGAGTATTCTCATTACCTGTTTGTTGGATAACGTATAGATATTATGACGAGAAATTACATGTTAATCACTTCTGGGAGTTAAAAAGGCTGAAATACCTTACTCATTCGCTACTAACTCACCACATTCAAATAACAGCAGTCCTTGATTACTGGTGGAAATCTGTTCACAGAGTTTCAGCGAACACACCAGGCATTCACCGCTTAAAACAGAAACAACAAAAAACTCCTTAACATCACTAGAGAAAGGAAAGCTAAATATCGGAAATTGAAGCTAGTGGATGAATTTCACGGACATTTGCATTTTCCATTCTATTTTTCGAGAAGGATGCGTAAGAAGAAGCAGTGAGCTGTTTCTCTTGAGTAGTTCTTGTTATAATAACACAAAAAACATCACCTAAAGTACTTACTCTGACAGGCGAATATTTTGTCCCCAATTTGAAGCTGTTGTGAGAAGAAAAACGAAAGTTTAGATCTACCGCAATTATAAAGTAAAAGAAACTAACGAGAAGCAAGCTCGATATACCTCACGAGATGTATCACTCAATAGACCACTTTCATAAATGGCTGCCGGATTAATATTCTTTTGTTTAAATTTAAATTAGCCTTTCTGGCCTCGTTCTCCAGTACAAAATTCAAAAGAATACATTATCTCAAGCGTGGCCAGAAAGGCTAATTTAAATTTAAACAAAAGACTATTAATCCGGCAGCCATTTTTTAAAGTGGTTAATGAGTGGATAAAAGAGGACGTACATACGGAAACCATCCAATGAAAGCTCGCACACGAACCACGCACGCAAAACATTTTCACAAATCACGCACTAAATCGACGCAAACAAGCCCAGTTCGCGACTTACGCGAACAGGGAGTCTCTACATCCTCTACATCGACCTCACGACAATCCAACGCAAACACGCCACGTTTCGCATCATTTCCTGAGTAACGCTTCTATAAGTGACGTAAACTAAACTAAATAAAGCTTCCAGTTACAAAAGAAATTCCTTTCCACCAACCTCCATCCTCAAGTGTCCTGAATTGTTCCACGGAGTCTAGTTGTGGGTTTTTGTCTTCCTGTTAAATTCAACAAACGACAGATTAAAAATTGTCACGAATCAGTCCAGGAGTTATTTTATTGCATACACACCATCCCACCCCAGGGGAGGACATCCACCACACAGTAATCTCGTGCGTGGGAAATTAACGTCTCTTACCCCTAACCCTGCCAGGAGACAGGGCCTACGGTTTATTCGTCCTTATCCGGGAAGACTAGAATATCTATCCATTTCTTTATCATAGAAAGGTAGCAAATACTCCTCACTTATCTTAAGACCATGAGTATATCTTAGAGGAAGTAACACTATATTTTGAAAGGAATTCTGCACTTAAACCGAGAAGATCGTAAAAAAAAGAGTTGCTTACATTACCTTACTATTTGAACCATATGTCTCTTCATCTTTACGGAAACTGTTTAACTAAAAGGAGAAAACAAAAAAGGACAATAAGAACAATACATACAGAATCAGGTACGTTCTCTGAATACCACAAGAGAACATCTCTAAATTCGTGTGCCTTGGGGGTGCTTCCTTTTCGCTCACCTTCGGGGCCAAGGAACCACTCCTTTGTGACCACAGATAAGAGTCTAGCTTTTTCAGCAATTCGTGAATCAACGTCCTGAAAAGAAGTAACACACAGTTTCAGCACTTAAATGGTGAAAGGCCGCGCGCGCGGGGTGGGAAAGATGCACTCTTTTATCTGGCCTGCCGCTAAAGTATGGTTTTCTAGGTGTGCAAACTTACACAGGGCATACCATTTCTACTGTTTTAAACAGGGTATCTTTCCTGACCCAAGGCCTTAGATAGGGTTACAATAATGTTATTGGTGCACAGTCTATCTGGGCTGTAAAAAAAAAACAAAAACAATATTTTCTGATCAAATTCTTTCTATTCTGTCAGCTCCATTCGGTCGATATGCAAACTGTTACGCCCTTGAAAAAGATCGCGAAATTGACGGCTTTTGCCTTAAAAAGTGTCAGGCCTTGTAGCCTAAAATGCCTTTCCCTGACTTTCCTGTGATGCCCCCCCGTCTCACTGAGCTTGGGTCTTTTCCCATGGTGCCTTAAGAGGGAAAGACGAGGAAAATACATTTTACCAACCTTTGCCTTCTTTCAATCACGGCACCTAATAGACACGAGTAGTAAAGATCTGTAGTGAGAAGTGGCGTGTTACGCGGTAGAGCCTGCAGTAAGTTCACAGTGTGTCCAGCACCGAGCCGTTCAAGCATCAGGTTGATGACGTTACTCCACGTCAAGTTAGGTGTCCAATCAGCAAGCGACAGTGGTATGCATGAACGTGGACTAGCACATGACTTGTCACTATGGCCATCACGTGATAAAAGCAATTCTAAGAGGTACCTCCAATCATCTAGAGATTTCGGGAGACGTCCTGTATACAAAAAAATACAAATAAGCCGCAAATAAAAATATAGATATGAGAAGATTTCCCAGATAAGTATATGGTCACAGTCATCAAAAATAGTAATTTTAAGTTTTCCCCGCCTCGGAAGAGAAGATTCCCCCGCCTCGAGCCTTACTGCCGAATTATAGCCTCCGGATATACAAATGACTGGCGGTAGATTGCGCAATTATGTACACGCAGCGCTACACGTCGCGACCGCTTTGTTCGTCAACGCGACAAGAAAAAAGATTTCTCCCTGCTAAATTTCTAGTCTATGCAACTAAGGAGGCGAGGAAAATACACTACTTGCCCCATGGCTGAGTGCCCATAACAAGGTTCAAGTCATTGAGCGCGAAGACCAATTTAAAGGCGTCTTTTCTGAGATTTTTTTGCACACACAGGCGGATCAGACCTTCCCAATATCTGAAGGAAAAAAAAATGAAAGGAAATGTTAACAATGAATTCAACGTTGCAAGAATTATGATCAACTTGAGTGCTAATGGGAAGAACACAACCTTAGTATAAACAAAGATGTAGTGCTTCGTTTTGGTTTTAAGCGTGGCTCTAATAAGAGACAAACGTCTTGAAAATTTCCAGTATAAGAAAAGTCGAACAGGTTGTGTTTTGCATAGATCTGAAGTTTTTATTAACTAAAATTCTGACCAATACTGTCTCATTATACAGTCATATAATTTTCCTTTCGATGAAGTTTTAATTTTGACTGCCAATTCGCCCATGGGTATCCAGGTGAATATGCAGAGAAAGTGAAGAATGCCGATATATAAGATTATTCTCTTACCCATGTTTCCAACACAAATCCATGAAATCTTTACACTCCTTTGGATCTTTATGAAGAAGAAAATCTATCAGTTGTTGAAGGTGATCGGTCTTTTGCCACGGAACCATGTGCGATCCCGGTCTGAAAAAAAAAAAAAAAAAACTACGTTTACAGATTCCTAATGTACAGAAACACTTCCAGCTCGAAAAAAAATTAGCCAAGAAATTAAGGGGAAGAAATGAAGACACATATTGACCTTGGGTTCCTACAGTGTCGACAGTGCATTTCTTCCCTTGAAGAATCTGCAACAAGTGAACAATGGAACCACCACATAGCGACTCCAACATCCTCACAAATGCTGCTGACGGTCTGTTCTCTGGGAAAGGACAAAATATAATTGAAATATTACTCACAAACATATATTACCCTCGCAAATGTAAAGTACTTTGAGTTCTCATTAACTCTTTACGGCAATTTTCTTTCTCCTCATTGGCCGAAAAGCACTCTATCACTGGTATGATATCAGACTAAACTGCTCTCCAGACTTATCATCCATACTTGGTATTTCCAACTTGAGCCCGCCATCTCATCAGTTGTTCCACATAAAACACAAAATCATCTGATTTGGCTTCTAAACTTAGACCATTGTTCTGCCGACAGATCTCCATCGCCTCCCACGGCTGCACGTCGGGGAACATTCTCGCGCACGTGATCATTGTTTCACGACGATCGTGTTCATACAAACTGTTAAAAAATAAATCGGCAAAAGAAGCTGTGAACTCTTTAATCCCTGAGGGTGAGTAACATCTAACTTCTCCCCAAAGTATCCCTCCGAAATCAAACACTAAGTATCCCTCCGAAATCAAACACTAAGTATCCCTCCGGAATCAAACACTAAGTATCCCTCCGGAATCAAACACTAAGTATCCCTCCGGAATCAAACACTGAGTATCCCTCAGGAATCAAACACTAAGTATCCCTTCGGAATCAAACACTAAGTATCCCTCCGGAATCAAACACTAAGTGTCCCTCCGGAATCAAACACAAAGTATCCCTCCGGAATCAAACACTAAGTATCCCTCCGGAATCAAACACTAAGTATCCCTCCGGAATCAAACACTAAGTATCCCTCCGAAATCAAACACTAAGTATCCCTCCGGAATCAAACACTAAGTATCCCTCAGGAATCAAACACTAAGTATCCCTCAGGAATCAAACACTAAGTATCCCTCCGGAATCAAACACTGAGGTCATGAGAATAAAAGAAATGATCACCAAGCTCTTGATTGTAAAACAAATTCTCCTTGTCAGCACCTTAGGAAAGGTATAGAGAACAGTATGGAGAATACGCACTCTGATGTAAGGACAGCTGTGAAACCGTCACTATTAATTTTAACCCTTTCATGTCCAAGATCTTGGGTTTCAGTTCTCAGCAATATTTACTGAACACACACGACCGTTACGTTAAAGAAGTGCCGAGAGTCTGGGTACAAGTACAACNAAACACTAAGTATCCCTCCGGAATGAAACACTAAGTATCCCTCCGGAATCAAACACTAAGTATCCCTCCGAAATCAAACACTAAGTATCCCTCAGGAATCAAACACTAAGTATCCCTCAGGAATCAAACACTAAGTATCTGTCCGAAATCAAACACTAAGTATCCCTCGGGAATCAAACACTAAATATCCCTCAGGAATCAAACACTAAGTATCCCTCCGAAATCAAACACTGAGGTCATGAGAATAAATGAAATGATCACCAAGCTCTTGATTGTTCCACAAATTCTCCTTGTCAGCACCTTAGGAAAGGTATAGAGAACAGTATGGAGAATACGCACTCTGATGTAAGGACAGCTGTGAAACCGTCACTATGAATTTTAACCCTTTCATGTCCAAGATCTTGGGTTTCAGTTCTCAGCAATATTTACTGAACACACACGACCGTTACGTTAAAGAAGTGCCGAGAGTCTGGGTACAAGTACAACTTACCGAGTTAAATGATACAGGAGAATGTTGGAGTAAGCATCCATCCCATCATGCAGTTCATGAAGTGCTCGCCGTGGATCTCCCTCTTTCAAATACTTAACAATTACGTCGTCATTCGTGACCAGACCTTGACAAAAAACAAAATCTGGACGGAAGACTTCTCAAAGGATTCTACACCAGAGATATCATGTAAGTTAAAAAATCATCATATTATTATTGATTGCACGGCCAATGTGTACAGAGAAATATCACAAATGTTTGATTGTATAACTAACGTTATAAAGATGGAGTTTCCCGGAATTTTAAGAAACCACTTCCCCTCTCACCTGCCTCTTCTCTCCAGGCCTACTCATTTTTGGCGGCTGATTGTCTGGTTTGGAGCAACTAATTTAGACACTTCGCATCAATAGAGGAAAGCTTTCCACATAGGCCACCGAGTTTTTTTTTCGATTTTTTTTTGAGAAATTAATTTCTCTAGCATCTATACTTACACTCTCAGCTGACAACCACGACAAGGAGAGAAAGTGGAATTTAAAGCAACTAATTGGGACGCGACATTCTTTACACGTCATATTACGAACTGACGAAATAACGAGTCCTACCAAAAAAATTCACGATTGGTACAGCACTCCCTTATCAAGAAAAATAATGTAGCTGTACATTATTTTGACCACCTAAAAAGTTATGAGACACAACAAAAACAACTGAGTACTACACAAGAAGTACAAACATGGTCTAACTCACTCACCAGACAAGCCATTCATAAACCTTCTCCATGTTCTTCGTCTGTCTCCCTTGCTCATAAACAGTGTCCGCCGTAACCGCTTCACGTCCAGCAGAAAGAAATAGTAAGACAAGAATTTTGATCGAGTATTGTCGCTTTCCCGCTGTTCAGAGCTTTGGCTTTCAGCATTTTCATTGACAATGTGAAAAAATGCAGATCTCTCATTACAATGCGAGCAAACGAGCTCACATTCTTTTGCTCCTTGTTCTTTATATGTGAAAGAAGGATCATGAATTCCTTCTCCATAAGACAAGTCTCCGTTCATTGCGGAGTTGGGTAATGCCTCGTTGCATCTTTCAGGGGTAGATAAAATTAGGTGGTCTTCACTATAATCGTGTTTGTCCGCAGGTGAACTAATAATAACTTCTTTAGCTTTGGTGTTTGAAATTTTCACCTTGTCGCTCTCTTCGTGAACATCTGTGCAGTTTGAAGCTACAGATTTCAAGTTATTCACCGTGGTTTTACCGGCTTGAGTTGATTGGCCGGCCTCATTAATACCATTAAAACCATCAGTCGCATGTTCCGATACAGTTTCCAAAACGTTGAGTGGCAAAAGATAAATGCTCCCATTTTGTAAGTTATTTTCATCAATAATTTCTTGAACTGCCAGAGGGCCATTGGGAGTGGTCTTCTTCTCGCTACTCAATGTATCATGGGACATGTCTTCCAAACATGCCATGCCTTTTGCTCCATACACACCACAATCAAAACACATTCTCGTCAGGTGAGCCACATCGCCAAACGCAGGTTCATCGAGAAAAAACTTCAAATCGACCTTAGAGTTGTTCTCATCAATGTTCTTGCTCAAATCAAAACAGCTCTTCAAGGCTCCTTGCAGTTTAGGGATCCATTCTTCCAAAACTTCACGAAGGCCACTGATACTGAAAAGCACAAGTGGATTCTTGACTTCATTCCTGAAAGGTCAAAGACAAAATCGTAACTCTTACACGAAGTAATTCAAATTCACTCTACACGCATTTTCATAGGTGGTTCCCCGTTAAGTATTTGAGGGCTTACAGATACTTGACGTTACACTAGACAATTTTTGTCTTTTGGTTAGATGAACAGGGGCGTAGAAAGCATTTCTAAAGAGGGGAGTCACGGTTAAGAATTTCCACATGCGTTACATAACGTGGCTTATAATGTTGCTCCACCTTGTGCATGACCGGGTTCGTGTTCATGCGGCGAAAAGGAAAGACAAACGGAATATAAACAAGCTAAATAACATTTATGCCATAAAAAAATTCTACGGATTGTTACTCGCTTGTTTTGTCTTTGGTAATGATTAAATTATTCAAATATTTCTACCAAGCTGCTTAAACGGATTTTTCCTCAGTTTCCCCCACTTCAATTCCTTGGCTATGATTTGTAGATTCCCACCTGGACAGCCTACAGCCATTTTGATATCTAACCACGCATGTTTACTAGCAACATCTATTAGACCTCACATTAAAAGTTAGCAGTAGGTTCCGGTCTGGTGAGTCAATTATGCTACTGAAAGACAAAATAGAACTCACCGAGTCTTTGCTGAACTCTGGATGAGCTCCTCGACTTCCGGTGGACATTTTATCTTCTGCAAGTCTTCTTCTTCCTCTTCTAGGTAGATTGTTTCCTCTTCCGTGGGTGGGATAGGAGAGGGTAAACTATAAGAATCCTCTGATGGAACTTTCAGTTTCTTTTTCAACAGGCCTTTGGCTTTTGACAGCATGGCTGGGATGGCGGGAGGAAGTTCTGATTGTGTGGGGCTACTGACTAACTGTTCAGGCTCTGACAAACGTCTGCTCTTTACCTGAGTTGTAGAGGACAATACCAGTTCATTCCCACGTCACAGACACAGAGAGAGACAAACAGACAGACAGAGACAGACAGACAGAGACAGACAGACAGAGACAGACAGAGACAGACAGACAGACAGACAGAGACAGACAGACAGAGACAGACAGACAGACAGACAGACAGACAGACAGACAAGGCAAACACAATAAGAATAAAGGGGGGGTAAGTTTCTGCAGAAATTGTGGTGTTGCGTCGGTGGAGGGGTATGACAAGACAATTTGGTTTTATCAACTGAGTTAATAATGTACATTGGCCACCGCAAAGAGTTTCTAAAGCTGGCGTTTCAAGGGCTAACGGTCGGAACGTCAGCTCAGAAACTCGTCACGGTGGCCAATTCATATTATCAACTCCGTTGATAAAACCAAATTATCAGGCAACAACATAGCTGTGTACATAGTTAATAATTTATAGGCATACAAACATGTAGACAAGCAGATAGCTCAAATGGTGGCGAGGCAGACAAACCGACAGACAGGAGAGTTTATGGATAGAACTGACGACAAGCGTATAAGCAGGCGTACAGACAGACATACAGACAGATAGATAGGCAGACAGACAGACAGACATACATACAGATAGA